TCGTTGGATATAGGAACGGATGTCGCCGGAGAGAGTGGTAGATGGAGATGGAATGAGTTACGATTTAGGGATTTAGGTTATGAGTTGCTTCTGCTGCGTAGTTATATACCCAAAACATTTGTGTTGCGAAACTAAAACCTGTTGCGAATTTGAAATTAAGTGTTGCAACAGTCAGAATCGTGTTGCGACAGTCAGAATCGCATTGCGATAGTCATAATTGCATTGCGATTTACATATTCTCATTGCGATTTACATATTCGCATTGCGATTTACATATTCGCATTGCGATTTACATATTCGCATTGCGATAGTCGGAAAATCGCAACGCGAATTTGGAAAATCGCAATGCGATAGTCAGAATCGCGTTGCGAATCTGGAAATTAATTTGTGATACCGGAGATCGCGTTGCGAATTATCGATCGCATTGCGATTTAGTTGGTCATTTTGACAAATCCAAAAAAAGTTGGTTAAAATCGTATATTATAAGGCATTTTTGGTCACTGAAGTTATTTTCTCTTTGAATAATATAATATATTATGGTAAACTATCAAAATGGTCATTTTTTTATAAGTGTTTACTTTAATCATCAAGTTTTGAAATATAATATTTTGATCACTTATATTATTGATTTATAACATTTTGATCACTAAGATGTTAAGTATGATTAATTTGATGCGTGACGTGTTAGTATAAGAGATTAGATTTTAATTTGACTTTTGATGTTTAGATAAAATACTATTTTACTTACTAAATTTTAGATAAAAATATTAATTTAACTATTAAATTTTAAATAAAATATTAATTTATCTTATTAATCATATCAAAATCTCTCGGTTGTCGATCACTATCGTCATCGATTATCATGATTACTATCATATTGACTAAAAATTATTACACCTTTTTAGGATTATTAAATTTAATATTAATGTCATGGGAAATGATATATTCTTTCATTAGTTAGATATATGGCCATGAGATGCCATTAAAGTCAAAAAGCTAAGGTGTATCCCACTTGCCCACGATGGCATATTCTTGTAGTCCAATGTATTGCAGACAGACAATATTATTTGGAATTTTCTATGACTTTTCCACTTTCCTTAGAGTTTTCCGATGAAAGCTACCCTGCAACAACCACTTGGGCTCCATCTCCATTATTATATCTTATTCTGAACCATCACAATCCATTGACTTCAGCAAATTCTCTGTTTTCTTCCTTGTGCCCTGAATTTCCCTTTTTCTTCTTCAGATTCTTTCTCCTATTCCCACCATGACTTTCATTGGAAAGGTTGCTCTGTCAACGCTTTTGGATCTGTTTCTTGGCAAGTCCATCGATGACGCTCTCAACTTTGTTGCTGATCACAAGAAACTGGACGACCAGCTCAATGAGTGGAAGTCCCTATTGTCCGATATCAAAGCAGTTCTGAACCATGCAGAGGAGAAACAAATCAAGGACGAGGGTGTGAAGAGCTGGTTGGAAGATCTCCAAGACTTGGCTTACGATGTGGATGACATCTTGGACGACTTTGCTTATGAACAGTTACGTCTCAACCTCCAGAAAACTCTGGCTCAACCCAGATCTAGTGAGATACGGAAACTCCTTCCTTCCTGGTTTACTGGCACTAGTTCCACTCCATCGTCATTTCTCTTTAAAAATGCCACGATTCCCAAGATGAAAAAGATCACTGCTAGACTCAACAGTCTGTCTACACGAAAAAATAGTTTGGGGTTGAGTGAGATCTTGCCTCAATCTGCAAGCTCCGAGCGAAAGAAACCGGCCAGGCTGCAACCTACTTCCGTGGTGGATGGATCTGTGGAGTATATTGGTAGAGACAATGAGAAGCGTGAAATGATTGATTTGCTCAAAACTAATAACTCCGTTGGAGTTAACGTCCTTTCCATCGTTGGCATGGGAGGGATGGGTAAAACAACTCTTGCTCAGCTTGTCTACAATGCCAGCTTAAAGAAGTATTTTGATCACAGGGCCTGGGTATGTGTTTCCGATGACTTTGATGCTGTTAAAAATAACCAAAATTATCTTACAATCCATCGATTCTTCCTCGCCTGATGTTAATGACTTGAATTTGCTTCAAGTCAAGTTGAAGGAGAAGTTATCTAGAAAAAGTGTCTTACTTGTTTTAGATGACCTTTGGAACGAGAGTTACGATGATTGGTCCACCTTACAGTCTCCCTTTGGAGCAATGACCAAGATATTATATAACTACTCGTCTTCAAATGTTTCATCTAATGTGGATCCAGTGAAAGTCTTTCATTTGGATAAACTATCACATGAGGTTTGTTTGTCCATATTTACACAGCATGCATTAAGAGCAATAAATTTTGATGGACATCTCCGATTTAAACAAGTTGGAGAGAACATTGTGAGAAGGTGCAACGGCTTACCTTTAGCTGCAAAAGCCATTGGAAGCTTCTTACGCACAACTAAGAATCTTGATGAATGGGAAAGAGTATATGAGAGCGAGATATGGGACTTACCAGAAAATCAATGCGGCATAATTCCTGCACTGCGATTAAGCTGCCATAATCTTCTCATTTGAAACGTTGCTTTGCATATTGCTCCATATTTTCAAAAGATTATGAATTTGAAGAAGAAAATAAATCTTGTTATGGAGTGCAGAAGGTTCTTGCAACAAAAAGCTAACATCAAATTAGAAATCTTGGAAACAAATATTTTCAAGATCTAGTGTCAAGATCATTTTTCAGATATCTAGTCAAGATAAATCTCATTTGTCATGCGTGACCTCATGAATGATTTGGTCAATTAGTTGCAGGAGATATATGCGGCGGACTGGAGGACAATAAGCAACAATTGTTCTAACATCGTTCTCGTCATTCGTCTTATATTTGCAGTCGGTATGACACTATGAAGAAGTTTGAAGAGTTTGATCAAGCAAATTCTTTACGTACTTTTCTACAGTTAAATCAAGATCATTAGGGTTATTTTACTAATGATGTTTTGGTTGAATTATTGCTGAGACTTCGATACTTAAGGGTGCTTTCTTTGTGTGGATATCGGATCACTGAGTTGCCTGAATTTTTCGAAAATTTAAAACTTCTATGTTATTTGAATCTTTCCCATACTAATATCAAATGTTTACCTGATTCTTTATGTACTTTTTATCAATTGGAAGCTTTATTATTAAAAGATTGTTATAGGCTTCAAAAATTGCCCTCGAAGATTGAAAATCTTGTTCACTTGCATTGTCTTGATATTAGAGGAACATACTTAATAGAAATGATGCCTTTAGGAATTGGTAATCTAACCAATCTTCAAAGGTTATCTAATTTTGTTATAGGCGAAGGTGATGGACATCGCATTGGAGAATTGAAGAATTTGTTAAATCTCAGAGGTGATTTTGATCTTTCGAGGTTAGAGAATGTTAATGGTCAAGATTCAAGGGAAGCCAGGTTGAATGAGAAATCTGGGATCACTAAGTTGGTACTAAAATGGGGTGGAGACTTTGAGAAACCTACAAGGAATAATGAAGTTGAAGAACAAGTCTTAGACTCTCTTCATCCTCCCAAAAAGCTTGAGCAACTCGTCATTGAGAATTTTGGTGGTGTAAAATTCTCCACTTGGATAGCAGATTCTTCTTTCAGGAATTTGTCGTCTTTGAAGCTATTCAGCTGTAAAAACTGCAAATCACTACCACTAATTGGAAGGTTGTCATCCTTAAAAGATCTTTCAATTGGTGGGTTGGTTGAGGTGCGCAAGATTGGTAATGAGTTGTTTGGGGAAAATCAGTCAGTTGCATTTGCATCTTTAGAGGTTTATCTTTCGAGAGTCTACCAAACTGGGAGGAGTGGGATGCTTGTGAAGGTGATGAACAAGTTTCAAAGTTACCCATGCTTCGTAAGCTGCGATAAGACATTGTCCTCGATTGTTGGGAAGGTTGCCAACCCGTCTTCAGTCCTTGCAGAAACTTGAAATCTACGAGTGCATGAGGTTAGTAGTTTCAATTTCAAGTTATCCATCACTGCGTGAATTAAGCGTGGAAGGGTGTGAAGAATTGGTGGATGAATGCTCATCTTCTTCACCAGGGAAGGAGGTCACCTCTTTGCAAAGTGTGAATCTTTTAAGGATTTCAAAGTTTAGTATTGCTGTTGAGAGGAGAATGTTGAGGTTTGCAAACTCCAAACATTTTGTAACTCGTGATTTCAGTATACTACCAAAAGTGTCGCATGCTTTCACATTCCTTACAAAACTGGTACTAAGAAACTGTGAAGGTTTGGGTTCTTTTACAGAGAGTAACTTCCCCCTGCTCTAAAACAACTGAGGATTTGGGGTTGTGAGAATTTGCAATACCTGTTTGATGAGAGTATGAGTTGTAACAGTTGCCTGCTTGAGCAGTTGATAATTGAAAGATGTTTGTCTTGGATATGGTTATCTTTGAGAGGCGATATATTCAATCGGCTTCAACATCTCCGAATTCTCCGCTACCCAAAGTTGAGAAGCTTATTTCTAAATTTCAAGCTACCCCGTGATGGTTAAAAAGCTTTCTATTTCGGAGTGTCAGGAGTTGGTATGCATATCCCAAGACTTGCATGAAACCAATGATCTCGAAATTATTCAAATTATGGATGTTCAAAATATGAATCTTTACCCCGAGGATTAGTCAAGCTCAGCCATCTACAGGAGATTTGTTTATGGGATTGTTCAAATCTGGTGGTTTGTTTCGAAGGTATTGAATTGTCCTCCACAAGTCTCAGAGTTTTCACAGTTGACAATTGTGAAAATATTGGAGCCCTTCCAAAGTGCATCAACAACTTCACCTCCCTTCTGCAGTTAAAGGTGTGGAACTGTGGGGCCGACATATCATTTCCAGAAGAGGAGTTTCCAACCAACTTGACATCACTTGAAATCTCAGGCGCACCCAAATATATAGCTCACTGTTGAATGGGGATTCCATAGACTTGCCTCTCTTCGACGACTCTGCCTCGGACGCTTAAATTTGGTGTCGTTTCCAGAATAAAGGACTGGAATGACGCTGCCTCCTCCTCTTATCTCTATCCCCATTTGTAATTTCAATAATCTGGAGTTCATGTTCTCCAAGAGATTTCAACACCTCACCTCTCTTGCATTATTGGATATCGGAGATTGTCCAAAGCTCACATCTCTTCCAGAAAAAGACATGCTTCTCTCGCTTGGGATGCTATTAATATCCGATTGTCCGTTGCTAAAAGAAGAGTGCAGGAGAGTTGAAGGACGAGAACGGTCCAAGATTTCCCACATACCTCTCGTTCTAATCGATGATGAAAATCTCATCCCTAGGAAAGTAGATTGAAGGTAAAGCTGCGAAATTTGATTTTGATTTGTCCATATTCAAACCACAGGTGTGAAATCACTTTAGAAACTTGAGCAATTTCATAGCTTTTCTTTATGGATGTATCTGATTATCAACAAGGTAATAATATAGCTTGTGCGACTTTTGTAGGTGTTGAAGAAAGTGTTGTTTTCAAAAGATGGTTTCAAGAAAAGCAATGAAGATATTCAACTCATCTGCTTTACACAGAGAACGGCAACTGTGATATGTTCTTTATATGAAGTGCTTGAAAGGCTTCTTCGTCCCTCCACTTGCCCTTCAAGTGATGGTATTTTCAAATACAGGGCAGTTCTGCGTAGCACCGATACTGCTTCCTTGAGGATTGTACAGGCTAGCATTTCATGATCAAATCCCCGGTAATAGCATTGATCATGTATTTAAACCTTTTATGTCTTATAATTAAATATGAAATTTGTTTTTTATCCAGTTTAAAAATTAATGATTTTATATATGGTGAATTTGTGTTGTTTTGATAAGATTGATAAAATATGGGTGAAACTCTACAAAGTATAAACTAGAGCAAGTAGCAAGTTACTATAACGATACATTGATTAATCATTAACCTTCCTAGCCAATAGGATAAGATCATTTTTCTTGTGTGTAGTGATCCCAGGTAAGACGTTAAAGTCTATGTCTTCTTTGTTCATTCCTGGTGGCATTTCCCAATCAAACTTGTAAAGAAGATTAGCAAGTGCAAGCTCCACTGTTGCAACTCCCATACGCATTCCAGGGCAAATCCTTCTACCTGCACCAAATGGTATGAGCTCAAAGTGTTGTCCTTGGTAGTCTATAGGGCTGCCGACGAATCTTTCAGGACAAAACTCTTCTGGGTTTTCCCATACTTGAGGGTCTCTTCCTATAGCCCATGCATTCACAAACACTAAGCATTTGGCAGGTATTTCATACCCATCTATGTTACACTTTCGGAGTGTTTCCCGTGGCACTAACAATGGAGTTACTGGTTGCAGTCTGAACGTTTCTTTTATCACAACTTTTAAGTAACTCAAACTTCCAATATCATCTTCTTTTAGAAAGCCTTTTTTCCCAATCAAACTTCTCACTTCCGCTTGAGCTTTCTTCAAACACTCTGAGTTTTTCATCAGGAAGCTCATAACCCATATCACAGCGGCCGCTGATGTGTCTGTTCCAGCGATGAACACAATCTACACCGGAAATAAAGACGGGGGGAAACAAGGTTATATATCCATGAAGTGTGAAGATAAAATTATTAAGCGGAGATGTGATGTTATTACCATTAGAATAGCCTTTATGTGATCTATAGTGAGATCAAATGGAAAATCATTATCCTTCGATATTTGTAGTAACACATCGAGTATATCCTTTTGTGCTGGCTTTACTCTGTTTGGATCAAGATGTTCATCAATGAGTTCTTGGTAAAAGATGTCGAGTTCTTTGAAAGTTTTCTCAAGGCGATTGTGAAACCCAGAAAATCTATCCACCCAACCCATGAATGGAAAATAGTCAGAGAAGCTAAAGCTTGCTAACATGGCTTGACTTTCGTTAAGCAAACCATGGAACCTGCTTCTTTCAGCTCCTCCTTCGGCATACCGTTTGCCAAAGGCCACTCTACAAATGATTGTACTGGCAAGACACATCATTGCCTCACTCAAGTTGACAGGCCTAGAATCAACAGACAATTGACATATTTTGTCCATCAGGCGAGCAACTTCATCTTCTCGGATGGGACGAAATTGTTGCACTCTGCTAAAGAGATGTATAACACAAAGTTTCCTGATCTCCTTCCAGTAGTCATCATACGGTGAAAAGGCCACTTCTAAGCGATTGTAAGATAATCTACGGGTACCACGCTGGTCAGGCCTGCTGCAGAAGTCGAGGTCATGGGTCTTCATAACCTCTTCAGCCAATTTTGCAGAAGAAACTACTATGCTCGGCCTGCACCCGAATCGCAAGTACACGAGAGGACCATACTTTCGAGAGAGCCTCCAAAGAAAAATATGAGGGGTGAGTTATCTAACAACGCATGTGCAAGTGACCTATCAAAGGAAGAGCAGGCGGTGTAGGGGGAGATTGACATTGTGGCCGTAATGTTTTAAAAGAACAAAGAAGGAAAGAGGTAGAAGGAGGATGAGAAACAATAGTATGGTCATTCTAATATTCTACTCACTGTGTTGAAAGTTGAGAGGGATCCTCCCCCATATATAAGTAATATCGTAAATCTTGTGGTCCTCACTGTGGTAATTAAGATATTTTCAGGGGCCAAATATCTATATATAAAGTAATATCTAGATATTTTCAGGGACAAAACATCTAGATAAGATATTTTCCACGACATTTTTTGTAACCCACACTAACTAAAAAACCTCTACCCATTATTCTTTGTGCTTTATATTGTACGTATGTTTTTTTACGATATATTTTTGGAGTTTGTGATAATATCCGTTAATAATATTACTATATAAAAAAGTATAAAAAATTAGATTTTTATCAGGTATTTTTATTGAAATGAGTTATCAAAAAAATTATAAAAATTCAATAAAAAATAATTTCTCCTTTGACGACTGCATTTCCTCATCAATTTTTTTCCAAAATCAATTATATTTCTTTTTTTTTTTTACTACAAGGTGAGGCATAAGCCTAATTATCTAAGACGATTTTACATAGGGTGGACCATAGATATCCTTATCGGCAAGCGGCTTAATGGAGACCAGCGGTGACTCAAACGTACGAAAAGGGAGATCCAGCTTCGACATTCCATCAGCAACCATATTCCCTTCCTTGGGCATCCAACAAAAGTCCAGAAACCAACCACGAAAGCTGAACAAAGTAATAACACGAACAAGCGGGAGCGGATGCTTAGCTGCTCCAGCATCATTAAGAAGGCTGATAACGTGCAAGCTATCCGTTTGTACCTGCAGAAGCTTAATACCAAGATCCCAAGCGACCTACAAACCAATGTAAATGTCCCAAAGCTCGGCATGGAGAGGGGAATATGGTGGAGGTACAGCAACGTTCGAGTTGAGGCAATACCAAACAACTGGTGGAGGTACCCACATGATTTGCTTCTCCTGACGATTCGTCATCCTCATAGTAGTAGCTCGGGTAGAAGCGACGCCGAATGACCAAGAAGAGTAGACGAAGGACAGCTTCCATGGTGTGGCGGGAATCCGTGAAAATGAAGGAGTTCCTCCTTTTCCAGGTGTGCCAAAGAAATGTGGAAAAGAATCTTCGAAGGGCAGTTCAACGCGACGATGGATGCAACGGAGGCAAGATTGGAGCTGATCCAATCATGAACCGGGTAGAATATGATGTGCGGAGCCAGCAGGGATGAGACTTTCCCAAGCGATCTTCACGTCGGTGCAGTCGCGTAAAACATAGGTAGTAGTTTCAACCTGAATACCACACAGAGGGCATGAAGGATCTGGAGTTAACCCTCATCATACCTTTCATGATTTGTTAGGATGCGGTCCTTGATGAACAGCCAGAGAAACGCCCTAACACGTCGAGGGACAGAGAGAGACTAGACAAGCTTCCAATTAAATGAGATCAGGCGGAACTCCAACGGTGGTGAGAAGATGGTTGTAGGCGGAACGAACAGTGAAGTTATTTTGGGCATCACCAACCCAAACGCCATGGTCACCGCCAGCGTTCGTCAAAGGTGGCTTAACGCCCAAGATGTGAGGGATGAAGTCAACAGGTAGCAGGGAAGAGATCATATCGAGATTCCAATCGCCATCTGAGGTTACCAAATCACACAGGCCATTAAAGTGCGGAGCAACAGGAGGGTCCGCGTGGTAGAAACGGATAGGACCAAGTGTTGGGATCCAATTATCGTCCCAAACACGAACACAAATACCATCTCCAAGAAGCCAAAAGAGCTGCTTTCAGAAATCATCCCAGTTCGCGGACAAGGCCCGCCAAAGCAGCGAACAGGCTGGTCGTTGAATTGAGAGTGGGCAGAGGGTGAAAAGGTTGTGTTTCTGACGCAAAGCTCAGACCCAGAGATCGTTCGGACGGACTATGATAGCATAACAAAGCTTCCATAAAAATAAAACTTATTCTGCAGATTAGAATGGTGGATTCCCAGACAACACGCCAAACCGGTTGGCAAACCGATGACCATCCACAAGAGAGATCATGCGATCGTAAGGGGATGTACTCCATATGAAACGCCGCACAAGCTTGTCAATCGCATTGCAAACACCCTGAGGAAGCTTGGTCGTTTGCATAATGTAGAGCGGAACTGTAGAGAGCACAGACTTAGCTAGCGGTATACGGCCAGCTAAGGACAAGGACCGTGCTGCCCAACCATTAGGCGCGCCTTCATTTTGTCCAAGATGAAGTCATAATCGACACAACAAATTCTTTGATGAATAACAGTAACCCCAAATATTTACCAAGACAATCAACCTGTTGATAATCCAATGACGAGCAGATAGCCTGCTTTAAACCTATATCGGTATTAGGAGAGAAATAGATTTGCATTTTTTGGGAGTTAACCTTATGACCGAAAGAAAAGTCGAACTCTAAGAGAGTAGAGGCTATAAGTTGTGCTTGGGATAATTTCTCTTTGCTGTAGAGGATGATCATCAGCAAAGAATAAGTATGAGAGGGGGAAACCGTTTCGAACAAGCCGGAACGATTTCCAGGATCCCGAAGCAACCCAATGGTTAATACGATGGTCGAGACGTTCTATAACAAGACGAAAAGATAAAGAGAGGGGGATCACCTTGCTGAAAACCCCTCTTTGGCCTAAAAGGAGCAGTGAGAGTGTCATTCCACTAAACTTGCATGATGGATGAAGTAATGCATCGCATAATGACCTGAATAAGAGAGGCGACAGTCATAGAGGATATCGCGAATAAAACTCCATTTAACTCGATCGAAATCTTTCTCCAAATCAACCTTGATCGTCATCCACCTTTGCTTGGTTTTTTGTGCGCATAGAATGGACAATTTCCTAGTTAAGAATGATATTGTTGGTTATTGACCGTCCGACAACAAAGCTTGTCTGGACAGGTTCGATAAGACCAGGCATGATATTCTAAAGGCGTTTGCGATGACTTTGGTGATAAGTTTATATAAGACCGAGTATAAGCTTATAGCCCGAAGTCTGCCGTAGTTTGCGGACAATCTACCTTAGGAATCAAAGTGATGATGGTTCTATTCAGGGATTCCTCGATTATTCCTTTATTAAACACAGATTGTATCATGCGGCAAATATCAACACCAACAATATACCATTTTTTCTGGAAGAACTCGATATGAAGGCCATCCAAGCCAGGTGCTTTAAGTGGGGCCATATCCATAAGCGCGGCGTAGATTTCCTTTGCATCAAGAATTACATGAAGAGAATTATAGCCAGC